GCCACTCTCCGGCGATGCCATCGGGGAATACGGCGGGGGATCTTCTGCAGGCAGTATGGCTGCTTGGCTCCCATCATTGAGACTGCTGAAGGAGGAAAATCCTTGGAAAGGGAAGGGAGAAAGAATCATGATCAAAAGGGAGCATTCAACCACTGCTCTGCGGTGCTGCTGTTAAATTTACATGCCACCCACTTGATCTGTCTTCCTGTTCTCTCACCTGCATTTCATTTTCCTCAAATATCTCCTCCTCCACCACCACCACCCCCCTTTGGCTCCTGCCTCTAAATTTGTTCATCTTCAACCTGCAAAGCCCTGTAGAGAGTAGAGGATGGCCTTGATAGAGAGAGGGGAGATCCGTACTAAAGCAACCAGGAGGGAAAAACTACTTCAGTCCAAACAATGAAGGAGGAAGGAGGAAACATTTGAAGCCACCTCCATAATTCACATTAGTATAAGAGAGTAAGAAGGTGAGCCATAATTAGACTTATCTACAAATATCTACTTTTATCTACGAATATCGATAGATCCCTCACATCCTGGACATAAACTGTTTCAACTTCTCCACTCAGAATGCTGCTATAGCGCATTGCATACCAAAACTAGACACAAAGATAGTTTCCCCCCCCCATGCCATCACTCTGCTAAACACCTAATTCCCACAGCACTGTCTTATGCCTAAATATATTCACCCCTGTAATAGGGCTCTATTGCTATTATCCTTCTCATCTTTCCTACTACCGTCTCCTATTGGTATCTCATGATTTATCTCGTTTGTATTTTAATTTACGATCTATGACTTATCACTTTGCTATTTGTATGTACACTGAGAGCTTATGCACTGGAGACAAATTACTTGCGTGTCCAATCACACTTGTCCAATAAAGAACATTCCTATTTTGTTAGGATTTGTTACTACAATCTTTTTTTTAAAAACAAAGCAGTTTTGGTCTTTGTGTGGAATTGATTTCTTGGTTTGATCTACACCAGTGCTTCTCAACCTGTGGGTCGGGACCCCATTTGGGGTCGATCGACCATTTCACAGGGGTCGCCAAGCAAGGCTGTCCGCCATTTTTTCCCCCCTTTCCGGCGGGTGCCTTACCTCCCTTGGGCTGGGCCAGCTGGTGGTCGGCCTGCTCCGTCTCTGCCGCTTGCCAGCTACGCCTCGGCCGGCGCAGGGGGCGGAACCACGCATGCGCGGCGCTCCCGGGCAGGGAAAGTCCTCGACTTACGACCGGTTGGGTAGTCCTCGACTTACGACCGGTTTAGTCCTCGACTTACAACCGGTTTAGTCCTCGACTTACAACCGGTTGGGGGTCGTGGCATTAAAAAGGTTGAGAACCACTGATGTACACTGAGAGCTTATGCACTGGAGACAAATTACTTGCGTGTCCAATCGCACTTGTCCAATAAAGAACATTCCTATTTTGTTAGGATTTGTTACTACAATCTTTTTTTAAAAAACAAAGCAGTTTTGGTCTTTGTGTGGCATTGATTTCTTGGTTTGATCTACACCTCGGGACTGATAGCTCTTAGCAATTCTGATTAGCTTTCTTTTGAGAAAAGCATTTGGCTGGAACCAGACTAGGAATATGTATTACTGTACTGTATTACAGTAAACGTATTACTGCCTAGGCCAGTGTTTCTCAACCTTGACCATTTTAAGGCATGTGGACTTCAACTCCCAGAATTCCACAGCCAGCATTGCTGGCTGTGGAATTCTGGGAGTTGAAGTCCACATGCCTTAAAATGGTCAAGGTTGAGAAACACTGGCTTAGGGGACAGCAACCACCCCCCTCCCCAAAGTAGGGATCCTCCTACCAAAACGACTTGAGATGAAGTGCTGTCCTTAACGATCGGATACCCATTCCAATTCTACCCCCTACCGAGCCACGCCCCCCCATGCACAAGCCACGCCTCCTGGCTTGACCGACCTCTCCTCTCTGGGTCTCCTCTCGTCTCCCGCCCCCTCCTCGTCCCCGCCCCCTTTCTCAGAGGCCTCCCATGAATATAAACGAGGAAAGGCGGCTCACCCTGTGGCGGGTTCGGTTTCCCCGGAGCAATCGAGGCGGGCCCTGACGCCAGACCGGCCGGCCCCACCAAGCCTCCCGAGCCGAGGCCGCCCCCATCGCCAGACTCGGCGGGCAGCAGCGGGGAGCGCTCACCATCCGCAGCCATCGCTGCTGCGGCCGCTACTGCAACCCGTCACCGCCCCGCGTCTCTTTCGGCTTCCGTAGCGCGCACGTCCCCGCCCCTCACACCCCGGGTAACTCTCGTCACGTGACGACCGCCGGCTTCATCCTATCGGCTGCGGGCAAGCGCCTGGGTCCCTGTCACGTGACCAGAAACCGGTGGCGATAGCGGATGTCGCGCTTCCGATTGGCCGGAGCGGATGTGACGGCCGGTCGTCCGCTTCCTTCCATTGGACGGCGAAGGGCGCTCGTTCTTTCGCCGTTTCCTCGTCTCGTGGCTCTCGTCTGCGCTTCTTGATTGGCTGCTTCCCTCAGGCGGCTCCAAAGGTTGTCCCGAATCGTCGTTTCTTTTCTGCTTGGCTATTGGCCACGCCCTCTCAAGGTAGCCCCCCGGGGGGGGGTTAAAGAGACGTGACGAAGAACCGCGGCTCCTCATTGGCTTAGCGCGTCCATAGGACGATCCTAGGAGCCAAACGTGGGCCTTACGTGATGGAAAAGCTGCTCTCCCATTGGGGGGAGGGGGGGGCGAAGTTCCTCAGGGCTTCTCCTACAACCGCCCCGCCTTTTCTACAGAATGCCCCGCCCCCTGAGCCGTGATTGACGTCCCCGTGAAGATTCCACCCTGAGACTTCCATTAAAGAGAAAGGAAGAGGCAGCGATCCGCTCGTGACCGGCACGTGCTCCGTTTCGTGGGAAGCCACGCGGGGCTTAGTCCCCCCCCCCAAAAAAAAACCCGAAGCCAGGAAAAAACCCTTCCCCCACCCGTTGTGTCTTTTCTTCTCCAGGATAAGCCTAATAGTAATAATAATAATAATGTTGGAAGGGACCTTGGAGGTCATCTAGTCCAACCCCCTGCTCAGGCAGGAAACCCTACACCATTTCAGACGAATGGCTGTCCAGTCTCTTCTTAAAAACTTCCAGTGTTGGAGCATTCACCACTTCTGGAGGCAGGGTGTTCCACTGGTTAATCGTTCTAACTGTCAGGAAGTTTCTCCTCAGTTCTAGGTTGCTTTTCTCTTTGGTTAGTTTCCATCCATTGCTTCTTGTCCTGCCTTCAGGCGCCTTGGAGAATAGCCTGACTCCCTCTTCTTTGTGGCAGCCCCTGAGATATTGGAACACTGCTATCATGTCCCCCCTCGTCCTTCTCTTCGTTAAACTAGACATACCCAATTCCAGCAACCTTTCCTTATATGTTTTAGCCTCCAGTCCCCTAATCATCTTTGTTGCTCTTCTCTGGACTCTTTCTAGAGTCTCAACATCTTTTTTACATCGTGGTGACCAAAACTGGATGCAGTATTCCAAGTGTGGCCTTACTAAGGCCTTGTAAAGTGGTATTAACACTTCACGTGATCTTGATTCTATCCCTCTGTTAATGCAGCCTAGCACAGTGTTGGCCTTTTTGGCAGCTGCAGCACACTGCTGGCTCATATTTAAATGATTGTCCACTAGGACTCAGAGGTCCCTCTCACAGTTACTACTATTGAGCAAGGTACCCCCTATATCGCCTGTTCACCGCCCTGAGTCCCGTAAGGGAGATAGGGCGGTATATAAATTCAATAAATAAATAAATAAATAAATACTATACCTGTACATTTGGTTTTTCTTGTCAGGAACAGTGATGGCGAACCTTTTAGAGACCGAGTGTCCAAACTGCAACCCAAAACCCACTTATGCATCGTCCAGTGCCAGGTGGGCGTGGCCCAATGGTGGGCGTGGCTGCGGTGGTAACGGCAGACGGTGGGACTAAAAAGTTCAATCAATTAATTCCAACTTTGCAAGATCTTTTTTTTCCCGTGAGAAGTTGAAATTGACTGATTGATTGAACCTTTTTTTTTTTTGTACACAGTGGCGGAGGCCTAAAGCAAAAAGGTTTTATAAAACCCAGCTGAAGGCCTAGGACTGGGGCGACGGTGCACGTGCCCACAGAGAGGGCTCTGAGTGCCGCCTCTGGCACCCGTGTCATAGGTTCGCCACCACTGGTCAGGAAGTTTCTCCTTAGTTCTAGGTTGCTTCTCTCCTTGATTAGCTTCCATCCGTTGCTTCTTGTCCTGCCTTCAGGCTCTTTGGAGAATAGCTTGGCTCCCTCTTCTTTGTGGCAGCCCCTGAGATATTGGAACACTTCTATCATGTCCCCCCTCGTCCTTCTGTTCCTTAAACTAGACATACCCAATTCCAGCAACCCTTCCTTCTTTAACCCAGTGCTTTTCAAACGTGGCCACTTTTTAAGATGTGTGGACTTCGGCTCCCAGAATTCCTCAACCCATTGGGGGAGAGGAGGGAAAAATGGCTGGGGAATTCTGGGAATTGAAAGCCACACATCTTAAAGTGGCCAAATTTTAAAAAAATACTGGGGTTAAAGGGGGAAATTGGTAGGATTTAGTTCCAATTGGTTAAATTGCGATTAAATAATTAGCTGGGTGGGATGTAACTGCAATTGGTTAAATTGCAATTAATTAGATGGGTAGGATTTAACTGCAGTTGGTTATATTGCAATTAGTTGGTTAGGACTGAACTGCAATTGGTTAAATTGCAATTAATTGGATAGGATTGAACTGTAATTGGTTAAATTGTAATTAATTAATTAGATGGGTAGGATTGAACTGCAAGACCTTTAGCATTCTTGCTCCTCTTCTTTGCGTGCCTTCTAGTTCAGACATGTCAAACTCGTGACGTTGCGCAACGTATCGGGACTTTTTTGCCATTGCCGGCAATGGGGTGGGTGTGGCTTCCGGATGACACGTTCCGGCAGTTTGACACCCCTGTTCTAGTTCCTTCCTTATCTGTCCTTTTGTACTGGGGCAATCAAAACTACCACAATACAGGTAGTCCTCGACTGAGCCCAATATTTATCATGGGGATGCTGCAAAGGTCATTACTGTGAAATATGGTCATAAGTCACATTTTTCAGTGCTGTTGTAACTTTGAACGGTCACTAAATGAATAGAATAGAACAGAGCTGGAAGGGATCTTGGAAGTCCAGGCCCCTGCTAAAGCAGGAGAACCTATAAATAAACTGTTGTAAATTGAGGACTCCCTGTATTATAGATGTGGGCTGACCAGCACAGCATAGAGCTGGACTATCACTTCCTGTGATGTTGATACTGCATTTCTCTTGATGCAGGCCAAGACTGTGTTAATGCTTTTGGCTGCTGCAGCCTGGCTTATGCTTAATGTGTGGTTTTGCAGATCATCCAGTTCCTTTTTGCCAGTACCTTGACTAAGCCAGGTACTTCCTGTTTTGCATTTGTTCTTGAATGCAACACTTTGTATTTCTCACCTCCTGAACAGCCTTTTATTTATTTAAATTGATGAGGGGCCCAACTCCACTGGACTTGGACGGTGTGCAAAACTAGAAAGCAGTTTTTATAACTGCTAATTTTTGTTAATTTTGGCTTATGGAATGTCACACAGGACAAATTTTTAAAAAGGCACTGCCTCTATTTTTTCCCCTAAGACAGTGGTTCTCAACCTTTTTAATGCCGCGACCCCCAACCGGTCGTAAGTTGAGGACTAAACCGGTCGTAAGTCGAGGACTAAACCGGTCGTACGTCGAGGATTACCCAACCGGTCGTAAGTCGAGGACTACCCAACCGGTCGTAAGTCGAGGACTTTCCCTGCCCGGGAGCGCCGCGCATGCGTGGTTCCGCCCCCTGCGCCGGCCGAGGCGTAGCTGGCAAGCGGCAGAGACGGAGCAGGCCAACCACCAGCTGGCCCAGCTCAAGGGAGGTAAGGCACCTGCCGGAAAAGGGGAAAAAAATGGCGGACAGCCTTGCTTGGTGAACCCTGTGAAATGGTCGATCGACCCCAAATGGGGTCGCGACCCATAGGTTGAGAACCACTGCCCTAAGAAACAAGAATTAAATAATATTTCCCAAATATGTGTACCCAATATACAGTAGATTATTTGCCTGGATCTGTTGACCTCATAACAGCCAGTATATTGACTGTGTAGTAATGAATAATGGTACTGTATTCTTATCTCTGGTGGAAAGAGTTTTTCCCAGCTCTTTCTCAAGCCATAGTAATATTGATTGGAAAATAGCATGATCTCTTTGAATTTCAGCCAGTGCTATAGTGCTTAATCTTTGTCCACATACCAGAGGCTTTACTCCATTCTGTGGTATTAAGTAATGGCACGTTTGGCCTTAACATTCATAAATTGACAAGCATGTGACACTAATTTGCAGAGAGGCTGTCACCAGTTCTGACTTGCCTGTTTATTTGGGTCATGTGTCCTCAAGAGAGACAAATTTGTAACATTAAAATGTTCGTTAGAACATGCCGGGAGGATTGGAAAGGAAAACCCCACATTTTACTTAAGAGAAGGGCTTTCTGTGATCACGGAAAGAGAGATTAGACTAACTATCCATTCTGTGGTAATCTCTTAATGTACTAGATGACCGTTCCCATCATCTCCAACCAGACTGAGGAAGTTAAGTATGACCCATTAATCTTAGTCCTAATCTTGGATCAGTTTGAAATTTATCCAATAATCCCAGATAATTATCTATCCATATTTCTCATTAGCCCTATGCAGAATGCTCATGACGCATTAAATGTCGCACATTTTTGTTACAAATTGTTATACAGGTAGTCCTTGACTTAGAACAGGTCGCTTAGTGACCATTCGAAGTTACAACGGCACTGAAAAAAGTGACATGACTATTTTTCACACTTAAGGCCATTGTAATCAAAATTCAGATGCTCTGCAACTGGCTCGTATGTATGATGGTTGCAGTGTCCTGGGGTCATGTGATCCCCTTTTGCGACCTACTGACAAACAAAATCAATGTGGAATCCAGATTCACTTCACAACTGTGTTACTAACTTGACAACTGCAGTGATTCATTTAACAGCTATGGCAAGAAAAGTTGTAAAATGGGGCAAAACTCACTTAACAAATGTCTTGCTTAGCAACAGAAATTTGGGGTTAAAATTGTGGTTGTAAGTCAAGGACTACCTATATTGCTCATGCCACCCATTTGC